TAAAATAAAAGTTATCTTTTAATTCCATTTGAACCAACATCTTAAAAATTATTTATTTGAGAAGCAGAAAAACAAATACGGAGACAGAACAACAGAACTCCCATCTACTGGTTTGCTCCATCAGCGCCCACAATGGCTGGAGAGACTGAGGCCAGAAGTAGGGAACTCAGTTCAGGTCTGTGACATGGGTGGTAGGACCCCAACTACTTGAACCATCACCACTGCCTCTAGGGGGCTGGATCTGCATCAGCAGAAAGATGGAGTCAGCAGCCAGGGCGGAAGTGAAGCCCAGGTACTCTGCTGTGGAACACATGCGTCTAACTGCTAGGCTGGACAGTTCCCCTTCCATGAATGTTTTTAGGCACTTTAAACATCCCTAACTCCCAGCCTCCCTGTGGTCTCCTGAGAAAGGCTATTTTCTTTGTCAGGTCAGGGGAATTCTGCGTTATTCTCATTACTAAGGTAGGAGATGCTAACAGCAGAAATCACAGTAAGAAGGTGGTTACAGAATAGAACTTTCTGTGTAACACTTTCTGTGTAATTCCTCTGATTTCAAGAACACTACACTTTGTAGGAACTTCTACAATTTAAAAGAGATGAATGTGTCACAAAGGTAATTTTCAACTCCCAAATGCACAGGTTAATATAAAACTATATCAACAACTTTGAAAAAACAAACAAAAAGTTGACCTAAAATGCTTAGCTCTTCCAGAGCCATGTGAATTAGGCTAAGCATCCATATTCCTGAATAAACAGAAACAAGGAGAGGGATGTTATGAATGAAATCAACAATGTTTATCAGATTGAAAAAACTAATTTCAATAAAAAGTCAATTGCACTTGGGTTTTCATTATTTGACTATAGTAGTCAAGTGTTAAAAACTTCCATCCATTAAAAAGTCCAGAAAGCCTTGGACTGTAGATCAAATTAGATCTTATTTTCAAACAGAAGAGAGATGGATTGTGCTTCACTCTCTGTGTAGTCTTTCTCCAGGTATCTATTGGCCAACTAGAGATCTTAGCGAGGAAGGGAGAGTACAGGATGCCTTCTGAGACCTTGAGAACAGTTTACCTGTGCGTGAGGTTAAGATAATTACTGGGGAGCCTGAGTTTTTTTTTGCATGAACAGAAATACCAAGTCAATTTCTTTACAAAATCTAATTCTTTACAAATTCTTTACAAAATCTAAACACTAAAAAATATGCACTTTCCCAGAAAGCATGAATTCCTTTGTGTCTAACAGTTTTGACAGAGAGATCTGTCCTGTGTTACTTACACTTTGCAAAAGACTCTACAAATCAGTGAGAAACTCCTCTAGTATTAGAATGGCATTCTTTGATGAAGACTTGAGAGTAATTTTCCAGATGGATCTAAGGCCACACAAATCATGGGTGTACTGATCTATGATTGGGGCTAGAAACTCCAAAGCCCAGGAATTCAAGTTAAGGACGTTTCTAGGGGCTCTATCATTTGAGGCAGGAGAAGGAAGAGCAGTAGAGGAGAAAAAGCCATGGTGTTAGAGTGATATCAATTCACGCCTCAACATTCACATTTCTGAGGAGGCTCAGCTGAGGATACGGATCTTTTTATTTTGTTGTTATATAAGCATGTCCCAAATATCATAAGGGATGCACTTACGCTTTAAAAAGACCATTGTTATTGAACATCTATATCTATTTTTTTTTTACTGAATCTGGAAACCCTAGCTTAGGATCCAGAACAAAAGAAAAATGGAAAAGCATAGCTCCAGGGGATTCCAGGGAAGCTAGAAATTCAGGATATTGAGAGGGTAGGGTCAACATTTTAAATTGAAGAGGATGGAGTGCAAGGCAGTACATAAGATCCAATATGGCCCCAAACAGTGCACAGCTCCTTTGACCAGGTGGGAGAGCCTATTTCCCACCTGTCGAGTCTGCGCAAGCCCTGTGGCCTGTTTCAGCCAACAGAACGCAGTGGAGATGGTGCAGAACCTCCCTGCTCAGACTCACGATGTCGGACAGCTTCTACTGCCACCCCCTACCAGGAACCCCAGAATTACTGTGCAATGAGAAAGCTCAAGGTCAAAGACCAGGCATAGAGAAAGGCTCCAGGGTCCCAGTCAATCCTGAAAATCCTAAACATTTGAGAGAATCCAATTTAAATGCAGTCTTGGCCAAAGTGGTAGCTTACTGCAACCTGTGAGATGTCCTACAGAGAAGATTCTAACCTATGGGAAGGGATTCCGCTTCTTCAGGAATGGTTAAGGCGAGTGAGGAAGGGTGAATTCTCACACAAAAGGCCAGGATTTTAGCTACCTCCAGAGAGGGTTTGTGGGAACTGAATGGTTTATAGTATGAAAATACACATTCAATATCATTGGGTAAAGGATAAAATAGAGAAGGATTGGAAAGACTCAAGAAGACAGCAACTAGGAGAAGTTTAAACCAAATCAGAGGAAAAATAAAGTGACAGTATATGCCTAGTGCTTATCTGAACTTTGTGCAGTTGAAATCCTGAGGTCTTTCTTTTTCCTTAAGATTTATTTTTTATTTATTTGAAAGGCAGAGTTACAGAGGGAGGAGAGAGAGAGAGAGAGAGAGAGAGAGAGAGAGAGAGAGAATCTTCTAACCACTGGTTAACTCCTCAAATGGCCACAGTAGCTTGGGCTGGGCAAGACCGAAGCCAGGAACCAGGAGCTTCTTCCAGGTCTCCCATGTGGGTGGGAGGGGTCCAAGCACTTGGGCATCATCATTAACAGGGAGCCAGATTGGAATCAGAGAAGTTGGGTCTCGAACTGGTGCCCATATGGGATGCTGGCATTGCAGGCAGAGGCTTAATCCACTATACCACAACACCAGCACTCTTTTCTTATTAAGGGAGAAATAAAAGAATTATTGTGGTTCTGGATTAAATATTTGATTCTCATTCTCACTGTCTTTTGGAGAATTCTCCATGGGATACAGAATAAATCTATGATGTGTGTGTGTGTGTGTGTGTGTGAGAGAGAGAGAGAGAGAGAGAGAGAGAAAGAGGAAGAGAGAGAGAGAGAGAGACAGGCTATACCACCAATGCTTTTGTATTTCTTTCCTATTTCTTACCCCAAAAGAAATCCTTTCAACTGGACGAGATAGAATGATCAAGGGAGTAGAAGAGGAGATGATTCTAGGCTTTCTGGGCAGTTAGGTTTGGGATTCCACAACTCAGCTTCCAAGAAGGAAAGAAATGACTATCATCCTGCTTCAGTAGCCTTTCATGTTCACAAACCACTCTACACTCTACTGTTATGCCAGACCAAGGATTCAGGCAAACTCCTCACAGTGAGGCGGTGCTGAAGATGAAGCAAGGGGAGACTGATATGACTGGCAGTATAAAACCTCCTTACAAGGTCCTTGTAAAGATAAAATGAAGAGATGTGTTTAGTGTAAGGATTTGGCATATAATATTTGCTTGATAAAGGTTGCTACATTATCTACGTGTGGCTTTCCTTTGGGACTTAAAACAACATTAAAGATTTATTTTGGCTTTCACTACTTCTTTTAATCTATGATAAAAATACAGTTTAATGTGTGGTGCCAGTGGGGTTTTGGGTATATCACAAATAACCCACAGTACCACTTCTATGAAAGATGTAATCTCTTGAATATAATACCTTGGTAGCATGTTTTACTAACTTCAAATGAAATGCTAAATAAAATAGCTAACTCAAAGCTCAGTTAAATGAAAGTGTGCAGAAATTTAAAAATTCTGATTGTTACTGCCTTGTTTTCTAATTTGGCTCCTTTTTCAATGTTCATAAGCAAAGTGACTAAATTTTATTCCTCCAGATATTATTCCTCCAGATAAATCAGATGAATTAATAATTCCCAAATCAAATATTGAATATCTTCAGTACACATTTATATATTATTTCATATACATGGTAAGAATTTGAAACATAAATTTAAAGTAATGTTATTTTTATCTCCCCCTCCAAAAAAATCTGTATCTCACTGTTTTCAATGTATTTGTGTACACGATCGTATTTTTATTTAGTCTGCAATTGCTTAAAACTGGCAACTTTTATTTTAGTGCATATGAGTCTATAATAGGATATTACTGTGAAATAGTCAACAAATATTTGTTGAATGAATGGATGAATGAAAGAAGATATATTTGGTAAATTGCATAAAAAGAGAAGCAAAAATGGTCTGAATATGTACTCAAATGCTTGCTACCCAGAGCCTGAATGTGGGTACAAAGTGAGTGGCCACAATCTGCTATCAGGGCTCAGAGACAGATTTCAGCATATCCAGGTACTTAGTTCCAACAGCACTAGATCCTTCTACTCCCTCTCCCTTAGAAACAACCAATCCAGGCAGATTTGTCCCCTTCATTCCCGTCCCTTATTCCTAGAAGCACCATAATCATGAGAAGCTGATGTAACTGTCAAGACTTGCTGCTCATCTCCTGTATTTATGCTTTGAAGGTATGAATGATTTAGCAGCAAATTGGCAACACAGATAGGAAGCAGTGTGGGGGAGAGGATGGCTACCAGGAAAGACACATAGTACAAAGAGAATAAATGGTGACTCGGGTTGTAAAGATGAAGGGATTCAAACAGCAAAAAAATTAAAATGAAAGAGAAGGACAAATTATACTTACTAACCCTCAGAATGAGCGAGTACAAACATGGATTAAGTAGCAGATTCCAACTGGTTAATTTACTAAAAAGCTCTACAAAACAAAGCACATTATGCCAGGTTGCATTGTTTTTGTTCTTTATTTTTTTTTTAATTTGCCTCTTCCCAGAGAGCCTTTAAAGAGCTGAACGTGAAAAATCATTGCTATTAACGTCTTCATTAACCTGGTCCACATGTGGGCAGGGGTCTGTGACCTTAGTTGCCTTGAATGAGCAGGGGTGAGTTGGGTAAAAGTTGAGCGTATTTCTGCCATTCTGAAGACAGCCTGCATGAAAGTCAGCTTAGGAAATGCAATGTACTTCATGGATAAGTGGTCCTTGGTAAATTTACTGTATCTACTCACCATGGTCAAGGATATATTTCACAATCTCCCCGTTGCCGGTTTTAGCTGCGTGGTGAAGAAGTGAACAGTGGTCCGGTCCCTGAATTAGCAGACTGCCTCCGTTTTTATAGCTTTCTATTAGCTGAAAGAGAGACATACGGAAAGGAGCTCAGGCAGAATCCGGAACAAGGATAACTGCTCACCGGTAATAAAAGAAGGGTAATGTAGCAAACCACAAATGTTTCCAGCCTCAGAGGACACAGAGAAAAGTCAAAGAGATGAAGTGGCATCCCTGGACTGCGTTATCACACAAATAGATGGCCAGGTTTCAACCAGCCCCGGAGAGGGTCTCGGGGATATTGAACAGCACAAGAATATGAAACATGCACAGAGATTTTTTTCTTTCCCTTCTGAGAAAAGACTCCAAAGGGAGTAAGGGCTGGATAGCAGCAAAAAAGGTTCCCCAAGTTGGCTCAGCATTCTCTCGCAAGCAAGAAGGTAATTACAGCTATAAACAGGAATAGGTTGGTGTCTGGTAGCTAAGCTCCGTCTTGTGTCCTTTAGTTGTTCTTCAATGTCTAATGAACTTAAGCATCAAATATAAAAGCTGCTTCTCATTTACCCGCACATAAATTCTCTCTCTCTCTCTCTCTCTCTTTCTCTCTCTCTCTCTCTCTCTCTCTCACACACACACACACACACACCACTTCCTTAGCCTGACAGTTTCTGTAAATCATCCCACACATAGCCAACAAACCTAGAGTTGATTTGCTAAGTGAAAACCAACACAATGTGACATTTTCTATAGGAGAGAAGACTGGAAAGCTGCAGAAGTTTGCAGCCTGAGCATAAGGTGGCTAAATAAGGACACAAAGTTCATGAAATAGTGAACACTACAGAAAGTCTAAATGGGTCCCTGTTATCCAGAGTTAGGAAAAGAAGAGCCTTCCTGAAGCTCCTAAAAGGTAGTTTGAGGACAAATAAGAATGAAATAACCCAGCAGGTAATAAGCAAAAGTAACACTGTTTTCTTTCAAGAGGTCAGGTCCTGCAACATTATAAGTAATCAAACCTAAGGTGAAAGAGGGTTCACTCCGAAGCCGTGCCTTCCTTCAAATACACCCTAAGAAGTGCCATGCACCAGATGTCAGGGAAACAGAGACGAATGCAGCTCAGTCACCAGCCTCAAGGCCTCACACAGTCCATAGGGGACAAAGGAATTGCACAGTTAATGGAGAGGGTCATTATGAGGTTACTGGAGGTGCTCAAGGGATGCATAATGCAAGGGATGGGAAAGAAGCCACGGAAGATGGCCCAGGAAACAGATCAACAGAAGTGGTTGAACGGAGTTAACAAGCTTAGGGGGACTTCCATCCCTGGACTGCAGAGGAAGAGAGGAATAAGGAACTAACAGTCTTCCACAAAAATCCGAAGTAGAATCCCACTCAGTTCCATGGTATTGTCTGGCAATGACTCTTCCTTTCTTTGTGGTCAAATCCACAGAGAATTCAACACAGGCTGAATCAGACCTAACGGAGCTCTGCAGCCTCGATCCTGCTTCGTGCTGCGGTTTTAGATGCTGGTCATCAAGTTCATCCATGGGCATCTTATGCAGCCCGTTTGTTCAAGAATTATTCATTCAGCCTTCACACATCACAGGGTGGCTCCTGGCATCTTCTGTCCTCTAGTATATGGCTTACACACACACACACACACACACACACACTCTCTCTCTCTCTCTCTCTAACACACACACACACATACACAAATACTCAATGTTAAATTTGTATCATGTTTCTTATGCAGGAGAGAAAAATGCAGAAGAGAAAGGGAGAAGAAAAACAGAAAGGAAGAGAAAGAAAAGAATGCAACAAAGAAAACGACTGAAAAAGGAAAACCCTAAGACCCTGATATTTCATTTTTCAGAAAATAAAGTGTTGTTAAGTCATTTCTTAGCTATTTAGGAAATTATTAAAATGGAGAACATTATTATACAACTAGCTAGATATAGTCACTTCTCATACTTCAAATAATTCTCTACTAAGTACAAAAATGTATGGTAATAAAATCAAGGTCATGGGAAATTGGTTGCCTAACCTAAAAGTCTATAGGAAATAAAGTGGAAAAGTTTCAAGCACACAGTGCTTTGCAAACCTTTTGGCAAGCAACAGCCTTAGTCACGCCTTTATTTTCCATAGACCCTAATGCAAAGCTTTGCAGGGAGCCCAGGATGGTATTCCTTTAACACGACAGTGGAAAGTGGCACTGAACTCAAATGCATATTGCTTAAAGAACACTTCCCTCTTCTAGGGAACAACTCCCATTCTGTAATCCAGACAGTGGCACTGAGCCATTTTCAGGATTATGTACCTAAAGACAGCAGTGGATCAAGACATTTGCAAACTTCTCACTATTTGCTTTATATGAGTAACTCATTTAAAAAGCAGCACAGGTGTTTCTCAGTTTATCCATAGGTGTGCTTCAAAAAAAAAAAAAAAAGGTGTGTACAAGGGTAAGAGTGACTAGCTTTCTTGTAAGGCTTTTGGTTTCTCAACGTGCAGTGGTATCTTACTCTGTAGGCTCGAGAGTAAGGCAGAGCCCCGGCAGCTGCCTCTATTACAGAGCAGATCAATGTCACGGGGGCCATCGGGGCACTTTTGGGCAATCCTAAGTCCCAATGCTTGAAATTGAAATAAGGCCAAATATGGTTTTAGAATCCACATAGTCTATGTTGCATAAGAAATATTTGTATTTCCATCGTATTTAGCTGTTATAATAATAAACCTCCCACAAGCATTATAATAATATTGATAAAATAGTCAACATTTTAAAAACCTCTTCTATGTAGTAAAACCAGTCTTAAAAAGCTTTATATGTAATTTTTACATTCGATTCCCATGACAAACCAAAGACAGGTCCTATTATATCCCAACTTACAGATGAAGAAACTGAAACACAGAGAGAATACAATAATTACACAAAATCACACAGATAGAGAATGGCAGAGTCAAGATCTGAACCCAGGCAGTCTGACTTCTGAATTTACACTCACTCTTGAAGTAGTGGTGACTACTACTCTCCCTCTTAGCTATTCACCAGAAAATAAAAGCACAAATTGAAGTGTCCAAAATGGATCACACAGAGTATCTTTCTTTTGGTCAACTATAATCCCCAAAATACAGAACTACAGTAATGGAAGATATAAGTTCTGGCTGGAGAGGGCACTGTGGGTGTTTTACGGATGACTTGGTTTCAATACCTATCCAAAAGGAAATCTTTAAATTCTTCTGGTGAGCAGAAATTCTGTGAAAGGTGCACACTGCATCTTGCGGCTAAGTGGTGAATTTTAACTAATTCAGGCAAATGCCTTGGTGCTCAGCACAACCAATTTGCTATTAGAAAACAGAGATGCTGTGACGCTCCCCTGTCCCTCTCTGATCAGTTCTGAAGAGCATCCTTCCTCCTCCTACTCAGCAAAGATGGGCAGGTGGAGAATAGATGATAAACAGTCATGAAAATCTGGTGAGGAATGACGTTGCTTTGAAGTTCGTAAAGAATCACCAAAATTTGGTTAGGAGGATATCTTACCTTCATAAGATCACCAGCTACTACTGCCTGCAAAATTGCTGTGAAAGACAAAAGAGAGATGCCCCATTAGTAGAAGACCCTGTCATTAGAATGTTAGAAGGGTTGGATCCACATTTTAGTGAAGTAGTCTAGGTCTGGGGCAGAAACTAGGGAGTAAGAAGCATGCCAAAGGTTAAATCTTGGTCAAACTGACTTGGGCCCTCTCCTGGGTACCTCTCTACCTTAATATTCATCCCATAAATCACTGTGGACTCTACGTCAGCCCTCCTCTAGCCCTGGTAAGCAGAAAGAACATAAAATTTGGAGTCACACAGATTGGGTTCAAATCTTATCTCTGACAAGTACTGGGACATTGGGCAAACCATTTAACCCTTCTCAGTCAACATGTTCGTGTTGGTGAAAGAGCGAGAGTGAACCCTGAGGGGTGGCCAGAGGCATCTGTGAAGTCCAGTGACTGTCCAGTTGCTGGTGTAGAGCAGGGGCTCACCATGAACGTGTTTACTCTTTCCGATCCAGTCCTCCTACTCGGCTCTCTTAGGGTTCAAGAAATAAACAGTCTTTCTCTCTGTGTGTTTTGTAATGATAAATAAATGCCCAGTGCTATGAATAGTAAGTGGAATAGACACAGTGAAGAGAAAAAATTATTTAAATTATTTTCTGGGGAAAATAACCATGTGTTTGGCATCAAATTCATTGATGACTCTTATGGAAAGATACCTGAAGATCTTAGGTAACTTAAAATTATTTAGAAAAAACATGTAGCCTTGGGAGAAAGAACATAAGTATCCACTTATTTATGCTTGTTATGTGGAGTGTAGACATAGAACGAGAAAATAACATTGTTAAATGGGAAAAAGAATATATGAGCTTCCAATGACAATTATGATTCTTAAAAGGAATTACATGCACTTAATTTTTATTTTTTGGAGGAAGTGGATGTTTTTCTTAGTAGTTAGCTTGCTCACATTCCACATCAGAATGCCTGGGTTGGACCCCTGGCTCCTGACCTGAGCTTTCTGCTAGTGCAGTCCCTGGGAGGCAACAATGATGGCCCAAGTGGTTGAGTCCCTGCAACACACATGGGAGACCTGGATTTAGTTCCTGGCTCCTGGGTTTGGCTCAGGGCCCAGCCCCAGCTGTTGTAGACATTTGGGGAGTGAACTAGTAGATAGGGATGAGTGCTCTCTCTCTCTTTTTCCCTCTCTCTCTCTCTCTCTCTCTCCCTCACACAAACACACACACACACACAAACATATGTTTTAAAGTTCACGGAACATGAAATTAAAACATCAATGTAACTGGGTTCATAAAATCTTAAAAATCCAGTTATATAAGTGGTCTCAAAAAAGTGATGGAAAATGCATGTCGTTGGGGATGGCACCATGGTGCAGTGGGTTAAGCCAGTACCTGCAATGCCAGTATCCCATGTGGGTACTGGTTCAAGTCCTAACTGCTCCACTTCTGATCCAGTTCTCTGCTAATGCATCTGGGAAAGTAGCAGAACATGCCCAAGTGCTTGGAACCTTGCCACCCACCGGGGAGACCCAGAAGAAGTTCCTGGCTCTTGGCTCCCAGACCCTGGCTTCAGCCTTGCCCAGCCCCAACTATTGTAGCCATTTGGGGAATGAACCAGAAGATGAAAGATCTCTCTCTCTCCCTCCCACTCTCCCTCCCCCCACCTTTCTTTCTCTCTCTGTGTCTCTCTTCTCCTTATAACTCTGACTTTAAAATAACTAAATCTTTTTTAAGATAATTCATATTGTGATAAAAAGGTAGATGGATTTCAACACTATCTATACCAAAACCACCTTATCTTTTACTTCTAATTTTCCACAAATTTTCTGATGTACCCTCAGATTTGCATCAGGATAGAAATGGTCCTTTTAGGAGAATCAATGTGGCAGTTCTGAAATTACTCAAAAAATTAGATTATTTCAAGTCTTTAGAGTCACATAGTTTTAGGAGAATAATAATGTAAATTTATTTTGCAACATGGTATTTTATTCTTCTTATTTGAGCAGTCTCTCATTTAGCATCAGCCGAAATGCAATATCATGCATCAAAGTACATGAATCCCCTAGTTGTCACTCAACAAAACCATCAAGACTTTTCTATTGAGCACTTGTGAGTACAGGTGAGCAGATGTAAGGATCCACAGATATGTGAAACTCACTCACTGGTGCAGGACTGAGCACCTTCCCTTTGACCAAGCAGAAGTCTTGAAAACTTACAGAAATGAGGAGAGCAACTTCATTGTGGGCGGCAGAGGATGCAGGAGGAAGAGAAGGATGGAGCAACAGAGAGAACTGAAAGAGGAGGTAGGGGTGGATTCCTCTTCATAGCAATCTAGAGCAGTTTGCTCTTCTTCTCCCTGGGGATCCTAGCATAACACTTTGCACACAGCAGGAAACTGGCTAAGAAGAAAGCAAGGAGATAAAAGGAACAAGAAGGAGAGAGAGATGAGGGTAACAGAAATGGAATGAATACCATGTTATGTGTGAAAAGAACCTCTGAAAACATACGTCTCAGTCTTTGTTTTACAAAAGAGGACACAGGGGTTTGACTACTGGAGCACAGAGCCAGTAGTGGCCGATCAGCACCGTAACACAGGCTCCTGGGTCCAGTACTAGGCTCTGTGAGACCAGAGGAAGGTGAAATACAGTCCTGTTGTCAGGATTGCAATGCTGTGGAAACAGCGCTGAACTGGGATCTAATTTGTCTTCTTAAGATGGAGAAAAAGAATTCCCATTCGTTGGTTCAATATTCAAATGCCTCCAACAGCCATTGCTGGAGTTGGGGGGCAGTGCTCAAAGCTGGGAGATGGGAACTGAATCCAGGTCTCCCATGTGGATGGCAGGAAGCCAATTATTTGAGCCATAACTGCTACCTCTGGGGCTCTGCATTAGCAAGAAGCAGGAGTTGGGTACTGAAGAAAACCAGGCACTCTGATGTGGGATGCACTCACTACACCAGACTCCCAGAGGGTCAAACTCTAATATTTGTAATTTACTAAATACATAAATCTGGGAAATTATTCAATATATTTGAGCCAATATTCTTATTTGCAAATGAGGTTAACAGCGGTACTGTTCACCTCTCTGTAGTGAGGATAAAAGTTTAAAAGGGCTATATACATAGATATGTCATATAAACAGAAGGGGCAGTTCTCAGCACTTCCATGACTACATATGAGAACATGAAAAAGACACATGAATGCTTAAGAAAAAGTCTTCCAATAGGGTGAAGTTGGCATGTGAAGTTGGACATTTATCTATCAATAAAGCACCCATCAGATGAGAAGTACACATGGTGCCAGGGGATGTGGTTAAGCCCAAGACATGAACCCCACATCAGAAGTCAGGGAAGAGAGGCTGGAGGAAGCATTAATAATCACACAAGTGTGGGAACACGTCAGTGTGCATCTTTATATGACAGGATATTCTCTTGGTTGAAGGGGACTATCCATATTAGGAAAGCATTAAAGTTACAAAAAATTGCATTACAGAGCCGTTAATGCAAAGCCTTGGAACTCAGAGAAGTTCAAAACCACAGCATGGCCTATTTTTTCAAGACCACATTAACCATGTCTCAAAGTTGAACAGCAAAAAGAGAGGGAAGGAGGGTAGAAGAAGAGGAAGAGGAGGAAAAGGAAGATGTGAAAAGTAAGAATGAACTAATTGATTTGAAGCAGTTATGTAATAAACTATGGAGCACATAAGCAAAAAATCAAGACGATGAAAAAACTACCCAGAACAAAAGTTATGGAAGGAAGGATGGACAGACCGGGGAGGGGGGGGGGGTGATAGGTTTAACTTACTGGCTAGCTGTGGATTTCAAAGAATATTTCTTGGAAGAGATGAAGTCTAAGCCAACTGTCCCAACAAGTGGAATTAATTAGCAAAGAAGCTTTTGTAAAAACTTTGCAAGATAAAAGGAGGACATGAACAAAGATGTGGATATTAAAAGTCACGAAGTCTGGCCGGCGCCGCGGCTTACTAGGCTAATCCTCCGCCTTGCAGCGCTGGCACACCGGGTTCTAGTCCCGGTCAGGGCGCCGGATTCTGCCCCGGTTGCCCCTCTTCCAGGCCAGCTCTCTGCTGTGGCCCGGGAGTGCAGTGGAGGATGGCCCAAGTGCTTGGGCCCTGCACCCCATGGGAGACCAGGATAAGTACCTGGCTCCTGCCATCAGATCAGTGCGGTGCGCTGGCCGCAGCGCACCGGCCGCGGCGGCCATTGGAGGGTGAACCAACGGCAAAGGAAGACCTTTCTCTCTGTCTCTCTCTCACTGTCCAAAAAAAAAAAAAAAAAAAAGTCACGAGGTCTGAAGGAGCCTGCCCAGAGCTCCACACTGGCAGATCTGAGGTGCAGAGACATCTCAGGCAACATGCTACAGGGTTGCACAGGGATCACTCTAGCTAGAGCCCCTTATGTCAAGAGAAGGCACGAGGATTATATACCACAGGCAACGAGAAGCTACTGAAGAGTTTTAAAAGGTGGGGAGGGGGACACATATAAACATTTTCAGCATGTCAATTTGATTCTGTTCTTCCCCTTCTGAAAACAGAGTTATGCCTGCTCCTAGCTCCTTGACTCCAGATTGCCCACATTAGAGCCTCTTTGAACTTCTACCCTATATCATCAACATGCACTATTATTTATGTTTGCCAGTTTCCTGTTTCAAGTTCTTGTGAATAGGTAGAAGATCATATAACAGAATTATGACCACAAATAATTTCAATTGTACTGGATATGGAAGCATGAATATTTATCTTTAAGTCAAGCAATCCACTCAAGGGTAGCTATTATGCAAACATTATCAGGAACAAGGCTCACTTCTCCCTCCTGATTAATGTCCTTCTCTAAGAACACTGTTGTTTAAGGTTTCCTCTGCATAAATAGAGTCCAATGCATTAATATTCAAATCCAGATAATAACCTTCAGAAAGATCAAGCTGAAAAACAAATAATGAGTTGTTATGATTACAGTATATTCTTTATTATTTCTTGGACTTTGAACTTGTCTTCTTGCCTTTTCCAAA